TGACCAGGTGGCATCACTCAGAGTCTTGTTGGCATATGTTTCCGCTCATGCATTCAACCACAGGCATTAACAGAGTGCTTCTGAGGAGTGAGACAGAGCGAAGGACAGCGCAAGGCTGAGGTCGCAAGATAGACAAGCAACAAAGAACAAGGAAGGAGTCCCTGGGAGCTTGTGAAAGACACCTGGGCTGGGCCTTGAACATCCCCAGAGGCACAGGAAAGACAGAAAGGGTGTGCCTGGCTCGGATGATAAGCTTGGGGCAGCAGGGGGAGGTCCCCAACATGGACACTGACACTGGGATTGCGTTCGCCGAGCATGTGGGAGCCACAAACATTGCACAGGGAAGAGGCAGCACAATCCAAACTGACCTGAAGCAAGAGGCCAGGATGCCAAGGGCAATGACATTGAGGCCGGGACAAGACTCCACTAAGCCACAGCAGAGGAAGGAACTAGTGGTGGCAAGGAACAGGGACACCAGAGAGGACACGCAAGCCCCAGACACAAGTAACTTGATGAGTGCTCACGGGTGGCCCCACTCTCGGGTTCCAACTGCACAACCACGAGAGCTGCCCTCTCCAGGACTGGGTGCTGGTTACAGAACAGGAAGGCAGATTTGCCAGAGACAGGTGGAAGAAGGTACTTTGGGCACAATCAGGGAGCCACATCCAAAGAAGTGACAAATCACCAGTGCAGGAGACAGGCCCCCCGAGGCCTGAAGTGACCACAACCCTCTGGTCAAGGCCAATCTCCATCCCTGCTGCTCCGTACCAGCCCAGAGGCAAGGAAGGGCCCTTGGGTGTGTGCTGCCTGAGGCCCCAGGCCTTCTAGGGCAAGTCCTGAAGTCAGGTTAGCAGAACCAAAGACTACAACAGTGGCTTTCAATCCTTGAAGCTCAGAATCTGAAAACTCCAGAGCTATACAGATGGTCCTCCACACCCACCAGCTCCACATCAAGATTAAAAAAAATAAAAGAAATGACTCACATAGTTGGGTTCCTGATTGTCCTGTGGGAGACCTAGACTGGTTCCTAGCTCCTAGCATCAGCCTACCCAGCCTTAGGCATTTGGGAAGTGAACCAATGACTGACTCACTGATTGACAGATCTGTCTGCTTGTCTCTCAAATACATACATGAGTACACAGCTCTACAGTATACAGGTGGCTTCTATGCAAATACCATGCCATCTGATACAAGTGGAAAGGACTGGAGCAGCCACTGACTTCGGTATCTGCAGAATTCCTGGAAACAATCCCCCCTGAATACTAAGGGACAACTGTGCATTCAAACAGCTCTCCAAGTGCCTTGGACAAGCACCAGGTGAAAACACACACATTTGCTACCTGCTACCTGAGCAGTTTCAGGGGACTCCAGCAAGCGGTTATTTTCAGATGGACGCACAGGTAGAGGTGCACCTGGAGAACCACTGCTCTCAGTTTGTGTTCAGGGCAGAAACTCTCGCACATGCAGCCTCCTTTCTCTGCATATAAGGAGAGAGATGAGTTCCAGAAATAACAGAGCCAGGAGGCTGCCGGCATCCTCTCTGTGGGATGGAATGACAGTGCCTACTTCCTGAGTGCTGACCATCAGCCAGAGCCAGGGCTGATGCCACAACCTGTCCCCCATTTCACAGATGAAGCAACTGAGGCTGAAGACAAGGGTGGAGCAGCTGAAAGGTGGTGGGGCACAACTGCAAATATATGTTCCAGACCGCTGCCTGCACCCAGCGTGCATAGCAAGGGTACCAACCAGTGCCCTTCCTTCTAGCCTCAGTCTTTCCAGCTACAAAGTGGAGATAACTGTTACCACCTGCTCCCTGAAGACCCTACAGTCCTTCCAACTCGGACGGTCAACCCCCCCCCCCCGGGAAATCCATGGCATTTTCCCCAGGCAGCAAATCAGGATCATCAGCAGGCTCTGTCTGGATTCCCAACCCACCCACCCCAGGATGGAAAGGGCAGAGGGCGCTCCCCTGCCCTGACCCCTCACAAAGCTTCCATTGTGCAACTAACTGTCAACAGCAGGCTCTGCAGGATGCCAATAATATTATTTTCTGGTACTCACGTGTCAGGTCCTGTTTTAAACTGAGGATATTCAGTTGCATTTTCCTTCACATGCAGCCTTCACGACCTGTGGCCTGGGCAACACACAGCCAGCCAGGAGCCAGGTGAAGCCTTGCCCGTGAGTGCAAATGGCAGTTTATGGAAGTAGCATTTTAGGGAAAGCCAGAGGATGGAAGCAGCAAGGGTACCATAGGCCTTTATGCCAACCCCCTTCAATTGTTCATTCCGGCAAGCAGTCGTAGGTACATCAACTCTGCCCTGGAATCCGTTCCAAGTGCCCTGAGTGCTTCTTTCTGACTGCAGTGGGCACTAAAGATACAGTCTCATTCAAGAAGCAGGTCACAGGCAACAACCAAGTCATGCACACCACTCCTGCTCCTAAGGGCTCCTTCACAGGAAAGCACACCCCAATCTCTCACTCACTCAGAGCAAGGCATGCCACAGGACCAGCAAGGAGAAAGAAAACACTCCTGCTTGGTACACCTGTATCCACAATTGCTCAGCTCCTGAGGGCCAGGCCAGCCAGCAGAGACCCGTTCAGTAATCAGGAACCATGGTGGCAATTTGCAAGGATAACAAACATTGTTGCTTGCAGGCTATGAAAGAGATGCCATTTGGGCTACAACAGCTCTGACTACACATCAGCCCCTCTGATTCCTGCCATTGCCTGAGGTTTGCCCACTAAACTCCCTGCTCTTTATCCTAATTGATGGCATGAAAATGCTATTACCTCCTATCCAAGAGAGCCACAGCAAGCAGTGTGACTGCTCACCCCCTATGCCACAGGTAAGGCCACCTGCAACCACTCGAGGGTCCCAGGCCAGGAGCAGGACTCACATGGAGAGCTCACATAAAAAACCCACCTGTAGAAGCAGAGAGAAGCTCAGTGCACTGAGGCAGCAAGCCAACACAGTGATAACGATCTCACCCCCAAAGAGAACAGAGGCAGAAAAAGAATGTGAGAAGGAGGCAGGACCACAAAAGAGGAGGCAAGAGGACTCAGCAGGGATGGCCCTTCTGTAACGGCTGAACCAGGGCCTCTGGTGAGAGCTGTACAAGGAAGGCCTGTGAAATAACTGGAACAAGTCCTGCCAAGGCTACTGCAGACAGGACTTGAAATTCAATCTACAGCAGGCTCAGGTTTAAGCTGATCAGGCTGGAGGGTCCATGCCTGATGTTATAAATATCTAGATGGCGCTTGGCAGAAAAAAAAGTCCCCCTCCTTGATGACGAGAAGAATAATCTCTCTCTTTCTCTCTCTCTCTCTCTCTCAGCTCAGCAAAGCACCTAACGCAGAACATAGGAGGTATTTCCACTTTCATCTAGTGCAAACCTTTCACTCTGCACATGAGTCAATGAAGTGCAGGGACATGATGCCCCTTGCCTGTGGTCACATGGCAAGCAGGTGTCTGTAAGGGGACCAGAGCTCCAAACTCCTGCTTCCCTATAGGAGCATCCGCACCCTGGACAGTCCCCTGGGATGACCACAGGCTCAGGAAACATCAGGTATGGCTCATTGAGTCCCCATGATGCAGCCAGGGCCTTCAGGGGCCCTGTGACCTTGGGATTGAGGCAGACAGAACCTTCATTCTAGCCTTCCTGATAGACAGGCAGTCTGTGTTCACCCCAGCTCAGGTGCTACTAAGTAAGCAGCCCCCGACCATGCCCCAAGCCCAGCGACCTACCCATGCCAGGCCAATCCTAGGCAAGCAGCAAAGCAGCAGGCTTCTAGACTAGCTGAAGAGTCCTGAGCTGGGCACAAAGGGCTCCCCTGGACAGCAACACCCATTAGGCCAAAAGGCAAGGTATAGAGCAAGACACCAGGAGTGAGGCTTCCACATGGAAGGCTCAAGATGCAAAACTGGACAAAGGAGAGATAGACTTCAGCCACCACAGAGGACTGAGACGCTGCGTGGGAGAGGAGGGGTAGCGAGAGTAGGGGAAGAGAGGGCAGGGCAGGGTCCCTCCAACTCAGGGCAGACAAAAGAAGCTTCCAGAAAGGATAAGCAGCTGGAAGGACTGTCACCCTGGCAAACAATCAATGGGAATAGAAACAGCTAAGTTGCTCTCGCCTTGCCCCCTCTTCAGAACCAAATTGTTGGCTTTCCTGACAAGACAGACAATACAGGGACTTTTACTGTTCAATCTCAGACAAGACAGACAATACAGGGACTTCCACTGTTCAATCCCACTTATTTTTAAAAACATGACACTAATGGACCCTGGGTAGTTTGCCCATCTTGCCTGAAAAAAACAGATGGCATTTGTCAAAAAGCACACTGGAAGCTGAGAGCTCGTGAGCAAATTCTCAGCATGAGTGCTGTGTCCAGGTAGAACAGATAGAACCCGAGCAGCGATACACACCAGGCACCCAGCTGTGGGTACTGGCTGTTGTCACAGCCAAAAGTTAACTCCTATCTGAGGGTCTCCTTCCAGGGGGGAATGCCCAAGTGCTTCTTTGTCAAGCACCCAGGAGAAGTATCACTCCCCGCCGCCTTTAGTGTCCTATCAGTGGAACGGTTTCCCAGCTCCACACCCCATCTGCTACACTGCACCTGAATTCTGCAAAACAGCACCCTGAGGAATTTTTTTAATCAAATATTTGTGAACAAAAGGTCAACACTGACAGCTTGGATGAGGACTCTAAGCGCTGTGTTGTTACAGTCAAATCACAATTTGGCCTCCAAAAAAAGGCAAAAGTTTTCAAACAGAAAAGCAAGAAGTCATTTTGATGCCACCAAACTGCCCTGCTAATGTGTCTGCTGAAGCTCAAGTGCAGAGCTCAAAGTTCAACAGAAAACGAAGATAAGGAAGTCAGACAAAAGGCTAACACCCCTCCCCCTATTTCTGCAAACTCTGGAAGGAAAGAACCAGACAGCAGACTGCTGCTCTAATCATCCTGCCTTTACGTGCGACAGTGGTCAGTCCTAAGTTTCTTACTGATCATGGTGGTGCCCCCAGCCAGGGCAGCCTTGGTTCCTTGGAAGAAGTCATCAGCGGATGTCATTCCCTGGTCAGGCATCTGGAAACGAGTGTGGACATCGATTCCTCCAGGGATCACCATTCGGGAATGGGCTTCGATGGTTTTCACCCCTCCTGGCACAATCAGGTTTTCTCCGATTTGCCTAAATAAACAGGGTTGGTGATAAGGGTGGTAAATGAAATGGGTGGAATCAAAGAGGATTAGCCAGAAAACCATCTTTCATCCGGTGCTATGCAAAACTCAGTTAAGGGATCAGAGGCCCCATTCAAAGTGATTTAGTTACTAAGAAATGCCTGAGACGAAGTGACAACAAGGCACCACAACACTTATCTAAAAATATATCACTCAACATTCTTGGCAACACACACATTTGAGTTGATGATCTTAGAGTAATGTTCTTCAGACCTGGTTATACTTTCCAAATGTTTATTTTCACCAAATTCTTTTCAACAGAGAGAAAAGCGGAAGATCAGAGGGAAACCAAATTATTAAAAAAAAAAAAAAAAAAAGCTAAAAATGTGGAGTGGGCTTTTGACACAGCAGATAAGACCCCACCTGGGACACCTGTCTCCCATATTAGAGGCCCAGGGTTCAAGTTCTGGATCCACTTATTCCTGCTGACAGGTGCACTGGAAGGCAGTGGCTACAGTCTAATACTTGAGGCATAGTGATCCACATGAAAGACACAGATTGAGTTCTCGACTTCTGGCTTTGGATGCCTAAGTGTTGCAGGTTTTGGGGAGTGAATCAGTGGTTGAAAGACCTCTTTCTATGTGTCTCTGACTTTCAAATGAACAAAAATTCTGTAAGTAAAAGCATGCTCCCAACAACCCAGGAACAAAGGCAGCAAAAAAATGAATATTTATTTTATTTTATTGGAGGATATGATTCATATCCAGTTTCTTGAAAAGAAATAGTGCTCATACATCTTCCTATCAATTATTCAGAATAGGAAATTAAGGAAGGGAGAGCTGACGGAGAGTTAAGACAAATAAGCGACAATTAAAAACAGCACATAGACCTGCTCCCTCCCAGGCCCACGTCCTGCCACAGCAAATTATGCTTGCTGCCTTATATCTGGTGGGGGTGGGGAATGGAATGTGAAAGTCATGGCATTGCAGAGCCAGCAGCTGAGACTGTCACAAGCAAACACACATGGAGAAAACATTAAAAGCTTGTATGGAAATGTTACGGTCAACGGAACGTTTATAAATCGGGATGAGCTTCCAAGCACCGGGCCACTCCAGTTTTCCACTCGTCCGGGCTGGCTTGCAGCTAGCACTTGATGAATGCTGCTTATTTAAAAGATGTCACAGGCTGCAATGTTTGTCTTGAAACAGATGTGCTATTTCTCCAGCGCCCTGTGAGCTGTCCCAGTAGGAAGGGCACAAGGGTACTGGTATGTCCTCTGTTCACTTAACCCTGTGAGGCCACAAATGCCCAAACTCTAACTGCTGTGTCGTTTCTCCTCTGTAAGAGAACACACAATCAATAGTCGAGTATTCTCACTTGTGCAAAGTTGCCTCTTAAGGCACAAAAACTAAAATGCCCCAAGGATTAGGCAATGATTTGTGTGTGCTGTTGAGTAATTAACTTGGTGTTCTTCGGCTGTTCCAATGTGGATTTTTGAAGACAGATGTGCTGTCTCAATAGAAGAGCCTGTATTCCACACTTGTGTCCTGTGACCGGGCAATCTAAACAACTATATTCTAGGAAAACCTTCAATGGAGTCAACATATCATAAACCAAGTATCTGAGTTGGAAACAACAAGTATGGTGTCACCTCTGTTAAAAATAGCAAATTACATAATACTCATGTATAATGCAACGGGCGTGTGCTCAATCATGGCTTTGAATGCCCTATGTCTGAGTTCTCCCATGTTCACTAATTACCAGCATCAAAATGCGCTTCCAGAAACTACTAAGTGGGTCAGCTGTGAAAGACATTGAAGCTGGAGGCTACGTGGGTGAACCGCAGCCAATACTTGTAAACGCTACAGATACAAGCTAGCACGACATTTGTGCACAATCGGTTGCACTTACTTGATCAGCCCATCTTCCATGTATATGTCTGCATAGAATGACTGGTCATCATTGACGATTTTACCTCCTTTGATCAGAAGACGATCACTCTGCAACAGAGGGAGTAAGGTCACCATGTGTAACTGGTCTCTGAGAAACATTGGCCTAGGACAAAGGAGCCCAGGGCACTTTCACTATGCAAAAGGGAGGTGCAAAATGAGCCAGTTCCTGGAGGCTTCAGTGACAAAGATGAGACCACGAGTGGTCATCTATTCATCCACACCTGAGGAGTCAGAACGGGCTGCCAAAGCTCATTGCAAATAAATGAGCCATCTTTCTGTCGGACACAAAGCAAACTCCTATTGAAGAAGGGGGGGGTGGGGGACATTGCAAATGAAGGAGATAATGGATTTTTAATGGCTTTTGGCTAAATCTCATTAAAAAGGAAACGCCCACACATAGGAAAGTCATGCCTTAGTGAGACCTGTGTGCAGGAAGATCCATCAGGAGTCAGTTGTCATGGGATCTGCTACACAAACATACTTGGTGCCACCAAAGATGTTAATGTACTAGGTCCTTTACATTTGCATTTATCTTTGAGGCAAATCACAGCCAAGCGTTACAAAACGGGGGAAACTATCAAAATAGATCATTTCAGACAACCCATTAAGAAATGGGAGAGCTGTACGATGAAGCATCTAAGATGGCAAATGCTAACACGGCTTATGGATTGTTGGTGTATTGTAATTGGTGATATTTGTGCAAAATATCCAGGACAGACAGTACATGAGCGCCAAGAATGTTAGCAGGCATGCGACACCGTGACTCATCGCCATCCCACACACTGTTGGTGGGATGAAATACTGAAATCGTGTTCAGTAAAGATGCACCTGTAGGATTCCAGACCTGGGGGAGAGGGGAGGTGGTTAAAACTTATGAAATAAACCATATAATGCTGTTCCAATATGCAACATTTTAAAAGGCAGTATCATGTGACAATCATTAACATGAAACTCAACTACAACACTCTCACTAAGAGCTATTGATAGCTAACAGCTGTAAAGAAATAAAAATTACAGAAAATCCTTTTTACAATACTTTTAAAGTGCGGTGGGAGGAATACTTTCACACATAAATGCACACACAAACGTGGGTTTACAATGTGTTTTATTGTTTTTTAACATGTTGAGAAACCATAGGTCATCTTAATTTGTATACTCCTAGGGTCTTTTATCCTAAGAGACTTTACAAAGTCCCACAGGGAAAAGTCTGCCTGGGCAAGGGATGCAGGAAAACCTTCACCGAATCCCATCCTGCAGATTGTCCTGGCCTGGAAACAAATCCAAACACTTGGATTCCCTCACACACAGGGAAAGGGGTACATGAGCTGCCAAGTCACCTGATCCAGGGTTCTCTCCTGGGTCTCCAATCCTGAGACAAGTAGGGCCAGGAAGTCTGCAAAGCCCAGGGCTAACATCACTCCAGGAAAAAAGGCGGACCCAAACACTCTGGTACCTTCTAGAAGGCTTCTTACATAAGAGGCAGGAGGAGGACCAAAAGAAGAGAATCATGCTACAGATCCTAGGAGAGCTCAGGCAGGACTGGTTTATTATTATTATTATTATTATTATTATTATTATTATATTTTTTAGGGATGCACTCTTTTAAAATGTGGTCTTGTTGATTATCTGCTTAAATGCTGTTATCCCTGCCAACATGAAACTGCCTTGCTCTTTCTCCAAGACAACACACTGTGGCAAATCTGCTCCCACCCCCTACTCTCCAAGCTCAGCTGGCTCCTGCCTCTTGAGCAGGAAAACACGACGTCCGGGTCCCCGGGGGTCCAGCCCTTTTGGGATCTTGGGGCGTTTTCCCTCAAGAAAAAAAAAAAAAAAAGCAAGGACCCACCCTGGCTGGGGAACCACCCAGCCCTCCTAGAAATCGCTGCGCACACACCCTCTCCCCTGCGCAACTGGTCCCTCGGCTCCCTCCCGCGGATGGGTGTGCCTGGTGCGCCGGAGAGGAAGCGCGGGTGCCCAAGGGGCGAACGCTCGTCCACGCACCCGGCCCCCGACACGTCCTGCCGAGGGGAAAGATTCTTCCCTTCTGGCCTCAGCCCGGGGTTCTACCCGGGAATCAGCCGGTCAGTGGCGACTGCACATCATTATGTAACAATGACTTTCCCCAGCGCTCCTCCCGCCCGCGGGGTTTCTTTGGTTGGGGATGTAAAGAACACGGCTTAGGGACGACGTTTCTGCAGGGCAGAGATGGGGAAGAGGCTCCGAGGACGTGGGTGCGGGCGGGGATGGGGAGGCAGAGCCGGCGCCCCTCGCTGCAGCTTCGTGAATGCGTGGCACGGATGAGCCCGGGGACTGAGCCGACTCGCAGTCCTGGGGCCCGGAGCCGCTCGCATCATTGTCTGCGCGGCACGGCGCACAGCGCCATTACCTCCCGAGCCCGGCTCGCGCTTCCCCGGGCGCCCACCCTCCCGCCCGCCCGCTTTGTATGCGCAGACACGGACGCCTCCCGGGCGGCGGGAAGGGCAGGGAAGGTCCCCCGCCCCCAGCCCCAAACCTGAGGACGAGAAGACCCACAGGGCCACCCGAACCACCAAGTGGTCCCCCCACGAGCCACAAAAAGCCCCCCACGGCACCCCAGCGCGCCAGCTCCACATCCTTCCTGTGCACCCAGCCCTTGCAAGCATCCCTTCGCTGTCAGGCGCCTCGGGATCTGGAGGAAGACTCCAGAGAGCGCCCGGCGGTGGGGGCGGCAGTCCCAGGGAGGACCCGTGCGCCCAGCTCCAAGCCCCGAGAACAATATCCGAGCTCCAACCGTGCACAATCTGGCATCCATTTGCTCACACCCCGCGGGGCCAGCGCCGCAGCATCTCGCGCTGACAATAAAAGGATACGGCGGACCTGGCGCGCTCCCCAAGGCCACCTTCATGCATCCACGCTCCTATTTTAATGCCCTGCAGGTTTCGTGGCGTCTCCCACCGCCATCGTCCTGTCCCGCGTCCCACTCCTTTTTAAAAACCCCGTAGATGCTCTGTCCCACAAAAGGTAGCTCACAGATTCCCAGATTTCCCAACAATCAAAACTCACCGTGATGCGTGGAATATTTTTCTTCCCCTGATAAGACATCTTTCTTCTAGGGGGAAAAAAATCAATATCAAGAGGGCAGCTTTAAAAGTAAGAATTGCCGGGAAGGATATTTAATATATGTATATGTAATATAGATAGATACTTCTTTTTTCCAGAACTGGAAAAGATGCAACCGCCTATGGGGTCTTGTTCGCTACCAATTTCAGGAAAGCTAAGGGATAAATGCAATCCTCTGTCTCTTTCTTCCTCTCTTCCAGCACAGCCCCAGCCAGGGCAGAAAAAAAAGAGAGGCGAGAGAACAGGAGGGAAGGGGGTGGAAATAAACTACAGCAATAAAAAGCCTCGGTTCGAGTCGGCCAGCGCGGCGCATGCGCCGCCAGCCACTCCCTTTCCTCTCAGGCAAAAGCCATCCGCTTCGAGAAAGACGAGCGCCGATTGGCCGCGGCCCTGGGCTATGCAAACGAGGGCGGGCGGGGGAGGGGCGCGGCGCGAGCGCGCGAAATGCTGCAGTGTGCGGCCGAGGGCGGCGGTCGGCGCGTGCGCCCGCCCGCGGGGTCGCGCCTTTCGCGCTCTTTCTTCAGCGCCGGCCAGCGAGGGCTGCAGCCGGCGGGAGCCACGGCCGCGGCCTCCGCTGCGCCAGGACAATGGAGGGGGCGACGGCCGTGACGGGGTGTGAGGATGGCCGTGACTGGGCCGGGTCGGGGCGGCGGCCGCGGCCCCCTCAGGCGGAGGGGCGCTCGCTTGCGGCCCGCGCCGCACGCACACGCTCGCGCGCGCCCCGGCCCTCGCACGCACGCGCGCCAATCCGCGGACGCCGCCGCTGCAGCCCCTGCGTGGGGTGACTGCGCCGAGCCAATGGCTTCGCTGGCGGCGAGCGCGCGACTGAACGGCCCGCCGGCCGGCTCCCCCGCCCCGGCCCGGCCCTGGAGTCGGCTCGGGGATTGAAACGGCGGCGAGCGAGGGCCACGCCCGGCCGCCGCCCAGCCCCGGGGAGCCGAGGGACCGGGAGGCGCGCGGCCCGCTAGCCGAGGCCCCGGGGCTTCCGCAGGCGGGAGAGGGGCGCGGCCCGACGGGCGGCTGAGGAGGCGCGATGGGGCGGGCGGACGGGCGCGGGGCTGCGAGAAATGAAAGGCTGGCGGAGGCCGGTCCGAGTCCCGGGAAGGCTGCGGTGTGCAGCTGGTGGGAAACCCCGCCCTGGAACGTCCTTTTGTGCCTCCGGGCCACGAGGAACCCGGTGGGAAAGCCTAGCGGGCGCAAGTGGAGGCCCGGGTGGCTTCAGCCGGAGCCCGGCCTGTGTGCTGACAGCCACGCCCACCCTGACCCTCTTGGGGCCTTGGTGATGCTTTTTGCTGGTACTTGCAAATATATAAGGAAGCTCCTGGCATGACAGTGCCCAAGGAACATTAAGGACTTAATGGGGCCCACAGAAGATCCCTGCCTCCCCACACCACGAACGAACAGTATGGGGAAACAGATATAAGGAGAGCCCAGATTCCCCAAAGTCCAGGACTCGAGGCCTCTGGTGGGTCTGGCGACTGAACAGGGATACGACCCCACAGCTTTGCCCTCTGCGCCACGCCGAGGTGCCAAAGGGACCCCGTGGGAGGTTACCCAGGCAGCTACATACTCCTGGCCTGGGCGGTGGCTTTGGGGCTTCTGTGAGATCAAACACTTCATTGAATCCCAACATCATCTAGGCCATCATCAGACAGCCACGGGGAAAAGAGACTCGATTTAATTGGCTCACAGCAGTTCAGCAAAGATGAGCCAGTTAAATCCGGAGTAATCCCGTGGTGCCCTAGGTTCCAGTGTTGGTCTGCACCTGGCTACTCTGGTGGGGAAGGGGAGGGTGTGTCCGACTTACCAGACTCAGATATGAAATGCATCATTTCCTTGCTGTGCCTGTAATATCAATCCCCGCATACAAGAGATTTCACTGCTGATTGAGTGGTTCTATTTCGATATGTGTCTCAAGAAAACATTACACATGCCCCCTTCTGTCGGGT